TATAACAGCAAAAAACACAAATCACAACATTTGGAAATGGCCATCATGCACTCAGTACTTGGTGGGGAATCCTTTGGCACGGATTAACTGCATCAAGCGGCTGGCCATGTACGGCAAATCAGCTGTGGCATTGTGGATGGTCGTTAGGTGCCACAGGAGTCATAGCGCTTTAGCATTGCTTGTTGTCTTGTGTCTTTCAGGGCTTTCTGTTTACAATACCCCATATTTCTAGGGTTCAGTAGGGAATTTGGCAGCCAATCCGACAGTAATGCCATGGTCAGTACCACCAGTTAACTGGTGGGTTTTGGCACTGTGGGCAGGTGACCAGATCTTGCTGGAAATATGAATTTTCATCTCCATGAAGCTTCTTCAGCCAGACGGAAGCATGTATGCTCTAAATCTCTTGTACACAGCTGAATTTACTCTGGGCTTGATGCAAACAGTAGGGACCAACCCAGCTGCATGGCTCCCCCAACCATCGCTGACTGTGGGAACTTCACCTGGGATTTCAGCAACTTGGATTTTGGCTCCTCTCCAGCCTTTCTCCGACTCTGGCGGACCTTGACTCAAATTGAAATACCAAACTTGCTTTCGTCCTGACAAAGCCGGACCTTTGGACCACTGGTGCAACTGTTCAGTGGTTCCTCTTTTTTCCTTTAGCCCAGCAGACGCCTCTTCCGTTGTCCTTGGTTCAGAAGTGGTGACCCATGCGAATAGGCCTATGTAGCCCTTCCGGCCACGTCCCGTGAACGCCGTGACTTTTGATACCTGGAATCCAGCTTCAGTCCACTGTCTTGAGTCCCCAAATTCTGGAAGCGGACTTCTTAAAATGCTGTTAAGGCTCGTTCATCTCTCTTGGTGTGCAGCCGTCCCTGCCACATTTCCCCCTTCCAACGACTTTTTGTGGACATGTGCTTTGCACGGCACTCTGTGACAAGCTGGCTCTTTGGAAATTTCTTTGTGTTCTTCCCTCTGATGGAGGGATCGTCAATGACCGGTCCTCTGGACAGCAGTCAGATCAGCAGTCTTCCCCATACTTGTGATTTAGTTTACTGAACCAAGCTGAGTGTTTTTCAAGGCTCAGGAAACCCTTGCAGGTGTTTCGAGTTAGACGATTCAAGTGATTCGTTGAACACCCTACTAGTATACTTTTTCATGATATTCTAATATTTAGAGATAGGATATTTGAGTTTTCTTAAGCTGTATGCCATAATCAGCAATATTAAAATAATAAAAGGCTTGCAATATTTCAGTTGATTTGTAATGAATCCAGAATGTATGACATTTTTGTTTTTTTAATTGCATTACAGAAAATAAAGAACTTTATCACAATATTCTAATTTTCTGAGACAGTCCTGTATACCATATAGGGCCCTTTCATCACAGCTTTCCATTCATTTGATATATGAAATTATACTAATCAATCATTGTCACAAAATGTTGTCGAAACAGCAAGATGAAGGAGATTAACACCAACAAATATTTTGAATGCATTATCAAAAGTGTCAAGGCACACTCAGTTGATGACATTAGTGACAGTCTTTTTTTAGGATAAATCTGGTCTGCAAATAGGTCATTTCTTCTCCAACAATTTGTCCACATTTTTCAAAGCATGAAATCAGATCATCAAAATGAACAGCGGCAACAAAATATGTTTTCCTGACCCTAAAATAAAACTTGATGAAGGACAGACAGTTTTAAAATAAGTGACTTGATCTGTATGTTCTCATCTCATCTGCAAGGAGAAAAACACAAACTTAAATATTATTCATCTTAAAATATTTGAGTAGTATTGTTTGATAGAACAAGCTGCCCAGGGGCCCTGAGGAAATGATCTTAGATGTTTCTAATTCACAATGTCAGCCTGCAGCTCTGACCTTTCTGAATCACGTGCTGGATGACGGGGACCACTTGGACGTCCAGCTGTCCAGAGGAGGACCGCTTCATTTGGACCCGCCCCTGCTCCACCAGAGCCTGAACTTTGACCTCCAGCTCCCTCAGGGCCTGGGTGGAGAGATCCTTGTCTCGCTCTATCTCTCTTTCCCTCTCACGTTCTATTTCTCTCTCTCTCTCTCGCTGCTGCAGGACGATCACCTGGGAGCAGGACTCACGCAGACCCTCCTACAGAACACAGTGCGATACACACTATGTATAAGGAAACTGTGTACAGTATGAGAACGATACACTCACAAGGGGCCTAGAGTATCAAATACTAGCAATAACCATCACCAGCATTATATATTGCTAATCAAAATATCTGATGTGTTATGGCGTGTGAATAAAATAAAAACTACAACTGCATATATTATAACTCAGGCATTGTCGTTGTACATCTGGATATTAATATTGTAATATATTGTTTTGTCCTAGTGCTTTACTGAACTGCAGATGAATATTTTGGGCCCTGGTAAATACATTTTTTCTTTAACAACAAACTTTAGCATTTCAAAAGAATATTAACTTTAAGTATAAAACATAGATTATATGGAAGTACAGGTTTTTTGTCTACAGGTATTTCTTTAAAAGTATGCTTTGGCCGCACCAACCCTCGTAAATGAGGTAATTAAACAAAAATATGGGGCAAAATAGTTATGAATAAAACTAAATACATTTACTCTAGGGCTGGTATTTTCATTTCATGCTATTTATACATTTACTTCACGTCATTTTAGGGCAAATACATTTTATCTATCAGCTCCAAGAGTGAAATGATGACCCCATTGCACATGTATTTTGATTACATACATTTGACTTGTAACAGAACATGTTCTTTCACTACTGATCATCAACAACTATGCAAGTATGCAAGGTCAAAAGTGGACCACAAAGTCAGGCAGAACAGATTCTTTGGGTGCTTTGGCAAACTAGTTCTGCTTTGTCTAAATATTTAAGCAATTTTTATGAATCAATGTTCCAATTACTTCGCTGCACAGAATATAATGAAAATAAAACACAAGTTAGACTTTATTAAAGAAAAACATATAAAGAATAGAATGGTGTACTGTACCTTTAAGAGCTCCACTTCTTTCGTGGTCTGAATGAGCTTCTTCTCCATTTCTGACATTTTCTCCATCGCCTCCCTCTCACTCTCCTCAAGCCTGGAGCTCAACTGTGAATATTTCATTTTTTTTTTTCATTTATACATTATGATTACCTTCCTACATGCTGTGTACATCTGCATATGTCAGGGTTCTTACACCTTTTCCAAAGTCAAATTCAAGGACTTTTCAAGCATTTTCAAGGTGCATTTTCAAGCTTTTCAAGCATCTTACAGCTGTTGTAAATTACATATTTATATACACAAATGATTATTTCCCTACCTCACATTAAATCAGATGTTCTTTATGCTATAAACAACCAAGGACTTGGACGACCAAGGACTGTTGACCCCTGGGTGAGTGCTGCTTCCTGCCTTCACTGGACTAACAATGGCTAATCCCAAACTGTACTTCTTTTTCCTTGCGTTATTCGCCGCCTCCCTACCCCCTCCTGCGCATAACAAATGCAAACCGCCACTACTATCATGTGTGATTATGAGGTCTCTACACAAGATGATTGTTACATTCCACTGTCAATGTGCGCACAAAACAAACTAGGCATTGTGACTCACTGCTATCTCTTGGCCGTGCTTTGATTGTATTACTACTGATGATATCGGGCAATGTGTATGTTCATCCTGGACCTTCTAGTATGTAGCCCTAGTTCTGGCCTGTGCCCTGATGTCAATCTTTGTCACAATGATCTGAGTTTCCCTGACTTCTGCTCTCGTAAAGCTGTAGGTTTTCTACATGTAAATGCTAGAAGCTTGCTGCCAAAAATTGACCAATTAAAAGTACTCGTTCACAGCTCAAATCCGGAGGTACTTGCAGAGCTGGCCCGACCCATTGAGCGACATAAGTGGCCGCTTAAGGCCCCGCAGCCACTAAGGGCCCCCTAGCAAAAAATGAAAAAAATAAATAATGAAAACAAAAAATAATCTCAGTACACTATCGCCGTGATAAGTATGTTTAATTAATTTTGTTAATATGCCTAGATTGCCTACTCTCAAAGTCATGTATTATATTATTGAGTCAATAATATAACACATTAACCGTGCTTTACCTGAACCTCATCATGACACTAGAGAGGACGGTAGGATTGTAATTTCCCGTGTTCAGTGATGCAACAGAGGCAAGACACCGACACCAGAGCGCTGAATGGAAATTAAACATCTGTCTTATTGGCTGGCAGTAACCTATCCTGTGAGCTCTGACATGTTTAAACTGTCAGTCGGACTCAGAGTTTTTGAAGGGTGGACATAAGACCATTTTTTCTTTAATAAAAGACGACAATTCTCATAGCGGTGGCTCACACAACAACCCCAGAACCACACTTGAGCAGGTAAACAAGGTTGTTAAATGTAAGTAAATTCCAAGTATGCGGAATATGTAAGCACAAGTTAATTACAGACTACGTTGACGTTATTTTGAATCGAAGCTTGTTATGTTGCTTAGCTGTCCAGTGATATTTAATATGTATACCAATTAAATGTTAATGTTTAGGCGTTACCTGTGATTCAAAGAAGCTCTCCGTGGATTGACTCGTGTGGTTTATCTTACAGTACACAGTTAGATCCTGGGTCCTGTCAGTAAGTCCCTCCCCCTTAGTTAGCTTAGCTAGGCTTTTAGCTTCTGAAGATATTGTTGTGGGTTCAGTTTTTTGTGTTAAATGTGTTGGAAATGGTTAGTGTGTTCGTGTTTCGTGACAGGATATTGAATTGTTGCAGCAGTAAATGTCTGCTTTTGGCCGCTGGGCGTTGCCATACAACACCTTTAATTTAATGTGCAACCTCTTTTTGTGACAGGATTTTTGCATGAAATTATAACTTCTTCTGATGATATTCCTATTGACAGCTAGTTTCTATGTGAACCTTATGAGAGGGACAGCAGACCGAGAATAAATAAAAACGTTATAATACTATATGCAGTAAACAAGATACGTTTTAAAAGGGAGTGATTTGTAAAATATCCATAGAAAACTCTGTTATAGTTCTGTTTTATATGGGTGTTTGAGAGGAGTATCATAGATTCTTATTTTGCTCTCAAAGTGCACCAGATTGATGTTTTAACTTCAAATATTTAAAAAAATTCTCGCCGGAGAGAGCATGCCCCCGACCCCCCTAGTGGAGGTTGAGGCCCCCCTAGAGGAGGTTATGTCTACGGTGTTTTACATGTTTACCGATGATTTATACAATATGTGTGTTTATGCTAACATCAATCAGACAAAAGTTGGTTCCCTGTTGTGTATAGTGAGACGCGCTAGGTGAGGTGGTCGGCACCAAGCAAAGGCTTGCTTAGGGCCCCAAAAGTTCTAGGGGCCGGCCCTGGGTTTACTTGTCATCACTGTGAGTCTTGGCTGAAGTAAGAATAACCCAGCTCTTGACATCGGCATCGCTGGTCTATAATGTGGTTTAGGCAGGTAGATCATTAATTTTTGTGTGTGAGTAGTGGGACGATCCTCCTCACACACGTGGGGGTGCCGTCGTTCGTGTGTGTAGTTTGTGGTTGTGCTCTGTTCGCAGTGCTCTGATGAGCTGCGGACTGCCCTGCCCGGAATG